TTTGTGTGTAGATGGGTGAGAAAATAAATCTATTGAATCCATTTTGAATTCAGGCTGTAACACAACAAAATGTGGAATAAGTCAAGGGGTATGAATACTTTCTGAAGGCACTGTAGATGGGTCTTGTTGAGAAGCAAAATGGGCTACATGTAGGCTGTTATTGAGTAGCTAAGTTCTCATTCAATTATTCGTTTCGATATCTCACGTGGGATTCACCAGAATCTCAGAAGCTCGAAGAATCAATCACACAGGTCTGTTGGAGACAGACAGATCAAGTGGCGAATGAGGTGAGCCCCTCCTCCTCCTTATAAGGAGCCACACGCCCTCTGGTCATTCTCACCTCTCTTCCTCACAAAGAGTACTAGTCTCTAAGCTCAGCACGACTTTATCCCTCTGTCTTCCTGTTCAACTGTTCGCAGGTGTGCCACGAGGTTACGCTCGTGTTTCAGCTCTCGTCTTCTGTGTTGGGTGACTTTACTGAAAGGAACGTTTTTGCTTCGGGTAAGAATTAGCTTTTCCGCTTTTTCTACCCTTTGTCTCTTGTGGTAGCTAGCGTCACATGGCTAGCTACTGAGTATTGGCTAGCTTAGCTGCAAGGCTTAGCTAACCTGGCTAGCTCGCCGCAGGGCTAGCTATCCTACCAACTAGCTATCCTACCGAATAGCATTCCTACCTGGAAGGGTAGAATTACTAGCTCGCGCTCTCGTTTATCTCAACCCACTACCGTACCACATTGACTAGACCAACCTTCCTAGCTTTAATGCTTATCGATCGAGAGCCCTGCTTTTGTTTGTCACAAGACTAACAAGCGCTACCTTCTTTTGGCTAACATTGTGCTAACTAGCTAGGCTACTAGCCCACGAGGCGAACGCTAGCTACGTTCACATTGTTAAAGGATTAGCATTCTCCGGCTAGCACTCTGCTAACTACCTAGGCTATTAGCCCACGTGGCAAATGCTAGTTAGGTTTCACTTTGTTCTCGGATTAGCTGTTTTTTGGAGCCATGGAGCCTGCTCGGCCCAAGGGGTACCAGGCAAGGACACGCACCGCCTGTGTGTCATCTGCCTGGGCCTCGAACACGCGCAAGCCATGCGGGGAGACTACCTCACAGGCCCAGCCCTCATGGGCCGACATTTTGGATGGCTACCCTGAGGACCTTCACCCACTCTTTCAGGGACAGGGGAGGGGGACCTTTTCATCGTAAGAGGATGAGGAAGCGCAAGTCCTTACCTCTAGGTTCTCTAACGCACTTAGCGGGGCATCGATGGCAGAAGACAGATATTTACTCATCACTGTCTGCAAAAGGGAAGCGGCCAGACTCCGTATTGAGTGGCTCAAACCCGTAGGGGGTGGCATCACAGAGAGGGACTGGTACGACGGGAGGAAACACCCCTCTGGCACCATCCCAGGCAAGCAACTCCTCCCAGCCATCCCAGCTTGCGTGGCGGAAGCCAAACTTGACTCTGAGGGTTGATACGTTGAGACTACCTGGCTTCGGAGAGAATGTTATCCCACTCTTCAATGGCTGTGCGAAGTTGCTGGATATTGGCGGGAACTGGAACACGCTGTCGTACACGTCGATCCAGAGCATCTCAAATATGCTCAATGGGTGACATATCTGGTAGGTATGCAGGCCATGGAATAACTGGGACATTTTCAGCTTCCAGGAATTGTGTACAGATCCTTGCAACATGGGGCTGTGCATTATCATGCTGAAACATGCGGTGATGGCGGCATGTTTCAGCATGATAATGCACAGCCCCATGTTGCAAGGATCTCTGTGACGGTTTCTGACAGTTTGTGCAGAAATTCTTCCATTGTGCAAACCTACAGTTTCATCAGCTGTCTCAGACGATCCCGCAGGTGAAGAAGCCGGATGTGGAGGTCCTTGGCTGCCGTGAATACACGTGGTCTGCGGTTGTGAGGCAGGTTGGACGTATTGCCAAATTCTCTAAAACAACATATGGTAGAGAAATTAACATTCAATTCTCTGGCAACAGCTCTGGTGGACATTCCTGCAGTCAGAATGCCAATTGCACGCTCCCTCAAAACTTGCGACATCTGTGGCATTGTGTTCTGTGACAAAACTGCACATTTTAGAGTGGCCTTTTATCGTTCCCAGCACAAGGTGCACCTGTGTAATGATCATGCTGTTTAATCAGATGCCACATCTGTCAGGTGGATGGATTATCTTAGTTTAGGACAAATGCTCACTAACAGGGACGTAAACAAATTTGTGCCAAAAATGTGAGAGAAATAAGCTTTTTGTGTGTGTGGACAATTTCTGGGATCTTTTATTTCAGCTCATGAAACATGGGACCAACACTTTACATGTAACATTTATATTTTTGTTCAGTATAGCTTATGTTTAGTTTTACAGACTTATTTTGCCTTTTTTCTGAGATTACTTCAAGGGATACAGAAGGGTAGTGGCAAACAGCACTATCATCATCCTCTATCATTATAGAGGATCTAAGTAATAGTGATTTACAAAAAGATAACCCTTAACTTTTGAAAAGAAATTCCAGAAAGTTTAAAGAAGAATAGACATGCGAGAGTAGACATGCCTAAAATCATTATCAGCTGTGGAATGGATAAGTCTATCCTTGAGATTGAGAGAGTAATTGGGTTGATACCAAGGAATGGCGCTACTGTTCAGGACCTCTTGTGTCCCTTCGTTCAGAACCTGGCAAACAGGAAAAATCTGAAAGACTGTAAAAAAGAACAACATGAGAACCCCACAATTGAATCATTTAAAGATGAGCCACCTGCAGCGAATGGACGGAAGAGAAAACGTGTGGACGAATCAGAGGATGAGGTGTCAGCACCAGGTCCAGAGAAGAAATGGATGGGGGGAAAAGCAACAAGGGTAATTGTTACAGGTTTCAGTTTCGAAGTTGGTTAGTCACCTCATTAGTCAGTATGTGTTTCACCTGTGCTGGCCCAGAGCGTGATCTTGTTAGTGAGGATGTGTTTCACTTGTGCTGGCCCAGCTGGTATTTAGGACCTGTTGGCCCAGTGCATCATTTGGAAAGGAGCTTGGCAATAAAGGAATACAAGGGAAGGTAGTCAAAAAATCTGATCTGAGATTTTAAAAACACACAGGAAAAACATGCTCTTTTCTGCATTACATGGATCTGGCTGAAGTCACCGTATATGGAAAGCAGAACTATAAGAAATTCTAAGAGGGAAGCTGTTACATGTTACACAGACTCATCAATGAAGAGGATACAGTGAAGGTGACAAGCAATTGCATAATTTCTGAACCAAAACCATTCAAAGTTCCTCAGAACTTAGGCAAATGCTCATTGAACGTTCAGTATGCTCCATCACTGAAGCCTTGGCCTCTGATGCCGGCACCGAGATAAGCGTTGAGGGAACTGTGAAAGAGATGCCCCCTGTGGAGAAAGGGAAGGTGCAAAAGGAGAGTCAGTCGGTTGAACAGTGCATCCTGACCTTGCAGGACGAGACAGGTTCCATTTAGGTCTGTCGCGCGCCGCTAGAGAGCATCGGTTGGAGAAAAAGTCAGGGTGACCAATTTCCACTACAAGAACTACGACAGTATTTCCATCAACTCAACTGGAATAACCAGGGTTTATACGATCAAGGCTGCTCCTTTGGAAACTGAAGCTGTCCATAATATCAATCCAAAAGTACACTAAAATGAAGGTGATCCTAGTGACAGATGTGGATGGAGGTATGAAAATATTCATTGTGGCATCGAAACTCTTTTCAAAGACCTATGAAATCAAACACGATGGCGACTTTAAGATGTCTTCAAGCGATGTTACGTACAAGGGAATATAATAATAAATAAATAAAATGTGAAAGTCAAATCTGAATGATGAGAGGTTGTGTGGCTGGAAAGCTTCACACGCAGCCCAAATCCAGCCATTGGATTGAAAAGTCACACACTAGAATCCTAAAATGTATTCCCCTTTGACCTGAACTTTTTCATATGTAATAATAATAATACTTAAAATATGTAACAGATAACTCTTTAGGAATGTGGGAAAGGGCTACTAATTATCTATAATGTGATGTAATGTGCGGAGCTGAAGTGGTGTACTACAAAACAAGATGGCATGAAGCCTTAATTTGATCAAGAAAATACTTCAGCCATTTCTCTCTGGTTTCTACTATGTGACTGTGCATGGTAAACATTTGTATTTCACCAGTGGTATTACTGTAATTGATAATGGAGTAAGGGGGTTATATCACTGTCCTGGAACTGTAATACTCAAGGCATGTAATTTCACAGCTCATGACATTGCTTTGCTTTTTTGTTTTATCAACTTTTAAAGGCCCAATGCAGCCGTTTTTATATCATTATCATTTCTGGGTAGCATTAAGTAGCTTACTGTAATAGTTTTCCCTTAAAACGGTCAAAAAGAAGGGGGAAAAAATAAGGACTGTCTAGGAGTGGTCTGAGTGAGGGACCTAATTGGAGGGGCCTAATGGGAGGGATATGTAACCTGATTAGAAGGTCCTGTGATTAGAAGGTCCTGTATAGATTGTATTTTCAACCAGTAACTATCAGAAATAACGTACTATGGGCCCTGGTCAAAAGTAGTGCACTATATAGGGAATAGGGTGCAATTTGGGAGTGTTTAGTGGAGGAAGGAGACGATTGTGCTGCTGAAGTAAGCCAGATGTCACACCTGCTGTGTCTCAGTCAGCTTCTCTCTTTAGTTCTCCCTCTCTCTTCCCTGGAAAAAAAGGAAGAAAAAGAGGGGTTTGGATTCAATAAGGGGTATTCTGGTATTCTCAGGCAAAGGGGAAATTACATTTCGAAATGGCAGCAATGAAATTCCTTTGTCGCAGCTTATGAATTGCTTTCTTTTCTCCTGTGATGGGTTTGTGTTTCATGTTGTTTTGGAGAACCTGCTTTTCCAGTTTAGTAACAAATTCATACCTACTAATAAGTATGCTAAACATCTTTATTCTACATAATAATAATACATCCCCTTAAAAAACCAGTTTTTCCCGCTGGGTTTGTCCTATGGTGGTCTATTGAGATCCGACCCACCTTTTCCTCCCTTCCCCTTGGGCTTGGAGGAGCAGGGCTTGGTCACCTTGATGGTGGCCTCGCAGTCTAACTTGAACAGGCTTTTCTTCAGGGTTCCTGACCGGCTCTTGGTGCTGGTGGTCGTGTCACACTCGCCCCAGTTGGTGAACCTGTACTTGCAGTCAGCTAGAAAGAAATACCACAGATTATATAAAAAAATATATAATTTAAAAAATTAAAAAAGTTATCCTAATTCCGTTATGATTAGGGCCCAGAGTTTTTCCTGACCACGATGAGACCTGACCAGTGATCACAAAAAAACTATGGGCCTAGTTACTGTATGATGACTGTACAGAATGCAGATACATGTAGTATATTCAGTATATGCACATGTATACCAGGACCACAGTCCATTTCCCACATTTGCACTCTTACCGCCAAAGGCCTTCTTCCAGTTGCAAGCGATATTGCACTTGTGTTTGGTGGTGTGCTCGCCACAGGTGGCCTCACGGAACCCATCTCCACAGTCACCAGCGTTGGGAACACATTTGGCAAAGAACTTCTCAGTGCACTCTGCTTCGCCCCCCTCTTTGGCTTTCTGACCTGTGGCCACCCAAACATGGCAGACATTTGTCGAAACAAAACATAACATAGGTAAACAACATAGGCTCCTTCAAAGGGACATATTTAGTTAAATCTGAGATACTGTACACAATGTAGTTTTATCACATTTCTCACCTTTTTTGTCACCATGTTTGTGTCCTGCCTCTACTGTGACCATCAAGACCACAAGCAGCACAAGTGTCATTGAGAACAGTCCTCGCATTCTGTGGAGAGAAAATGAAATATCATTATCAACATTTGACTGGAAAGTATATCAGCCACTGGGCTAAAAGAGGTGATCAAAAACTGTTATGGTTCCATCCATGCAGGGGTTTCAATTGGGTATTGCAGTCGCCATATCCTAGTTCAACACCAGTAATGTAAAATAGGCTACTAAAATCATTCCAATCCCGATTTAAAAGGCAGTTTAGCGGTATTGGCAGGCTGGCTTTAGAACCATGCGGACGGCTCAGAGCCTACGGCCAGGCTGTTTATTGATAGTAGAGAGCATGTTTTAGGATGCCTCGGAGCGGGCAGTAACAGCTGGACTTTTCTTTCATAGTGTAGAGGTGGAAGATGGCTGTAGATGGCTAGGTAACTGCTGTTTCAATTGACATGAAACTAAACTAGAGTTTCTAGTCCCGGTGCTGAGCTAGTGCGTAGCTGTTAATATCTGTATGACGTGTTTGTAGAATGTTAAGTCCCCTATCGACTGAAGTGAATGGAGCTATAGCAGTCAAGGTGATAATTGCTAGAGTCAATTAAGTTTGTTTTTGCTGTTCTCCAAACTCCAAATTGCAATTTAGAGTTTTTTAATTGTGTAGAAATGCAGCAAATGAGCTTGCAGCAAATTAATTGTCACTTTGCCCTACCCTAGGTTTAGTTAAAATGACGCCACTGCATCTATGTCCTAATTTCTTGATGCTTTTGGGAATTTGATTTGAGCAGAAGCTTCGGACCTTTAGCTGTCGGGAAAGGAACTCGGATCCGCAGCCACTCCGTTCATTTTACTTGGCCACCCCGTTTTAACAGCGTTTCTGTGAGCCATCATAATGTACTGGCTTATGTTGTACAATATTGAATGTGCTTAAGTTACATCTTAAATCTGTCAAACATCTGCAATGTGCCATTTATCCTACTGTGATTACATAATGTTACAGCAACATTAATCATATGTACTCTTTTCAAGCCAGAGTATGAACTTAAAAAAAAAAAAAAATAGACAGAGACCCCTAGGCTCTAGCTTGTGATTGGATGGCTTGGGTGGTTGCTTGTGACTGATCATGTCTAAGCAGGTCTAACCAGGTATTCATCAGTGGAGGCTGCTGAGGGGAGGACGGCTCATAATAATGGAACGAAGCGAATGTAATGGCATCAAATGCATGGAAAACATGTATTTGATACTATTCCGCTCCAGCCATTACCACAAGCCCGTGCTCCCCAATTAAGGTGCCACCAACGTCCTGTATTATTCCTGTCCTACTAGACTGTCCTTCCTTCCAAGAACAATACATCTGTTTCTGCGTTCCTTCCCAGCATCGCTTAATCAGATCATTAAATCAAGAACAATGCCTAGTGACACATTCCACACCTTTTCTGAAAGTTGGCTGCAGTCCTTTGTACTGTTCCAAAACAGCAGCAAGTCATGAAAGTAGGGTTGCATTCCTTGTCTTGCTATGAGTTACTGTACTTATTATCATATACTGTGATACTCTGCAATTCACAAACTGTCCTTCGTCTAAGTCGGTGGTTTAGTTTTAGCCTATGGACATATTAGCCTACTAATATCTCATCTGTTTTTTAAATGTTTACATTTTTACATGGAAAACCACACAACTACACATATACACCACATACTGACATTTTCCTGTTGACAGTTTTGCTTGATGAAAGTAGGCTAATGGAGTATTACTTTGCTCTTATCCAATCATAATATTTTGCCTCACTGAATCAACTGAATGCCTTCTGCCATTACTGGATGAGTGCTCAATCAACAAGCACAGCAGTATATCCCCTTACTATGTGGGCCACGGGCATCCCCCCTTGAATACATTAAATGTGTCAACACATATCTCTCCCTTTCTCTCTCTCCCTCATCCCTCTATCATTGGGCTGAAAAATTTGACTCCTTTGAGAGTTCAGTTTCAAGAGAAAGGCCTCCATTAAATGAGTCCGTTCTTTCACACGTCATCCGGCCGTGCAAATCCCGCTCGTCTCTAAATGTGGAGGGCTTCTCCAGTCTGGGGCTTTTGTGTGAACAGAACATGCTCTCAGCAGGCTCCCTCTCTGTGCTCCAGCCATGCGGAGGGGGAGGCCAAGCGCTCGCTGAAAGGCTTTTAGAGTCCCCTCAAAGGTATATTGATTAATTGAGCCAAAACAAAGCGCCTTCTTGCCTGTTTCCATTTCTCTCAAAAGCCCTAACACAGATTCCATGCCATGTCTTAGGAGCAAGACCTCTCCGTGGTCGAGCTGAATGTCAACCTATTTGCATAAGAAGACAATCAAGTCTTAAGATGAGGAAAAGAAGCGTGATGCTCCCTTTGCGATTACAGTACATTTTCAGAACTTCCTCATGAAGGAGAGTTCACTCTCCCAAGAGACAAACTTCATGAAAACCGGTTAAAGACGATCTTGAACGCAGATCTGTAGTGGATCTCTAGGACGAAATTACCATATCAACCAAACACTGTGTAAACAATGTGAATCAAGTTTTTACAAAGACATGACTTTGCTATAACCATGGAACCAACATGTGTAGGCATACTGAACAAATAGACAACATGAGTTACAGACACTCTCTTTCACAAGGTTGTGCAAACAATGAGCTAGCCATGGTGACTTCCTCAAGGGTCAGGTGAATCCCAACATTTTGATGGTTTTGATGGGAGAGCAAAAACATTTAGAAACCACACTGTCTGATGATTGTCCTATAATGATTGATTAGAAGCCACTTTTTTATTCAATTAATTGGATCACTTGCACTATCAAAAGCTGAATCTCTTTTTTTATATTTTAATTTAATATGACCCATTTGATTATATATTTTAAGCGATAATAAGTGTTTGTATGTAAAGAATAGCCTATCATTGGAATCTGTAACGCTTCAGCTTTACAGATCAAATAGAGCCCCTAGAGTTTGACAATATAGAATAGCAACCCAGTCTCCAATGATAGGCTATTTGATTATCCGCAAAGCAAATTGGAGTTCTGGTTTGTGCGTAATGCGCACTGCAAGACTAACAAGGCATGCATGCACTTGTTCTGAACATCGACAGTACATTAGTGAACACAAAGACTACAATGAGAAAACATGTCAATAACATATGGATATGCTATTAGATTTTTTATAATTTTGCATTGAACTGACAGAACAATGATTAGCAAAGCCTTATGGTAATAATAAAACATGCGGGATAATAATACGTAACATAATACATCAACTTACTTTATTGTCATAAGTGGAAACTTCAGTCAGGCAAGTCACTATACTGGTTCAGTAGTCGTTAGCTGTCCCGCACACAGACTGCAGCTTGCGTTTACTGTGTAGTCTACATAGAACAAAAAAACCTTGTATTAGCTGGTCACATAACAATGTTTAAATCAGCCACCCGGTGACATCACTTACGCACGTGGCCTCACTTTAATCCATATAACGGGAGACAAAACAGGCCCATCTCATTTGCATAATAGACAGTAGTCATGATTTGAGACCTGCCTGCTGCATGAATTATTGTTCATTCAAATGTGCTTTACAGTCATGTTTAACACCAACAACTTTTTAGTAACAGACCTTTTCATTTTCAAATACACCTCTTGTCATCAATTAACATTGTAGAGCACCAAATAGTTTAACATTTTATTCAAGCATTTTTAAAGAAAAAATATTATGTCAGTGTTATATGTTACAATCCAAAAATGTGAACCAAATGTTTTAGAGAGGAATGGGGAATCCTGCAGAATGGCAGGTGAATTGCAAGGCAAAGAGGTATGTAGAATATTCCGTTAGAGTTTTCCCTACTAGGACTAGTAATTCCTGTCTTGATTCTCAGGTTTTCCATTCCAGCAATTCACTGCTGCTTTCTTATTGCACAACAGACCCACAATCCACTCATGTTTATCCATGGTCATAAACATCTCTCCTTTATCCCCCTTCTTTCCCAATGAAGTCCACATGACTTCTGTTATGGGGTAAGGAACACCTGTTTGATCAGGAAATGAGTCAGTTGGGTAAATAGTACCAGATACTGTAGGTTTCATGTAAGGTGTAAGGTTTGGTCACTGGGTTATAAGGTGCCTTCAGAAAGTATTCACACCCCTTGACTTTTTCAACATTTTGTTGTGTTACAGCCTGAATTTAAAATGGATTAAATTGAGATTTTATGTCACTGGCCTACACACAATACCCCATAATGTCAAAGTGGAATAATGTTTTTATTGGTGAAGTTATTAATCACTCTTTAGATGGTGTATCAATACACCCAGTCCCTACAAATATACAGGCGTCCTTCCTCCTAACTCAGTTGCCAGAGAGGAAGGAAACTGCTCAGGGATTTCACCATGAGGCCAATGGAAACTTTATAACAGTTACAGAGTTTAATGGCTGTGATGGGAGAAAACTGAGGATGGATCAACAACATTGTAGTTACTCCACAATACTAACCTCAATGACAGAGTGAAAAGAAGGAAGCTTGTACAGAATAAAAAACACGCATCCTGTTTGCAATAAGGCGCTAAAGTAAAACTGCAAAAAATGTGGCTGAGAAATGAACTTTATGTCCTGAATACAAAGCATTATGTTTGGGGCAAATCCAACACAACACATTGCTGAGTACCACTCTTCATATTTTCAAGCCTGGTGGTGGCTGCATCATGTTATGGGTATGCTTGTCATCGGCAAGGACTAGGGAGTTTTTGGGGATAGAAATATATAGAATAGAGCTAAGCACAGGAGGACCTAGAGGAAAACCTGGTTCAGTCTGCTTTCCAACAGACACTGGATACAAGTATATCTTTCAGCAGGACAATAACCTCAAACACATGACCAAATATACACTGGAGTTGCTTACCAAGACGACATTGAATGGTCCTGAGTGGCCTAGTTACAGTTTTGATTTAAATCGACTTAAAAATATATGGCAAGACTTGAAAATGGCTGTCTAGCAATGATCAACAACCAACTTGACCGAGCTTGAATAATTTTAAAAAGAATGTGCAAATATTGTGCAATCCAGGTGTGCAAAGCTCTTAGAGACGTACCCAGAAAGACTCACAGCTGGAATCGCTGGAATCGTTGCCAAAGGAGATTCTATCATGTATTCCTGTATTTCGTTTTCAATACATTTGCTATTGTGTCATTATTGTGTGTAAATCAATCAATCCATTTTGAATTGAGGCTGTAACACATTAACATGTGGTGTAAGTCAAGGGGTATGAATACACTGTCTCTTTTGGTCCCTCTGTTACAGGTCTGAGTGTAGGGGGTAAGTTGAGCCATTCTTTTACATTCAGAATCACTCCTTCAAGGGAAATATAGTATCTACGTATACTGTATTTCAGGATGTTGTGTATCCTTGGAAATAATCAGAATGAATGTAAACATGACAGTTTTGAAAACACAACTTGTCCAAAAAAGTGGTCTATTGGCACAACTATGTAGAGCCATGGGACAGGGTAAGTTAAGCCGCCTACACATTTCTGTACTGAATGAAATATTACCACTTTTTAAAACCATGTCTTTATTTCCCAAACACAATTCAACACAATCACTTTTTTGTCTTTTAATCATTTGAAGCATCTTTTAACATTTCCCAGCAATAATGCCTTGCATCATGCCTGGGTAGATTTGCTCAACTTGCCATTGGCTCAACTTACCCCAAGGCAAACATTTGGACTATTAGCCCACACAGCTACAGGGATGCACTTTCATGTTAGGTTTAGGACCTCATATTGAAGCTTATAGAGACCCAAACTGATGTATAGAGTAATCTTTAAATGATGTACTTTAGTTTAGATACAAGCATAATGAAACCCAGTGGAGGCTGATAAGGGGAGGACGGCTCATAATATTGGCTGAAGCGGAGCGAATGGCATCAAACACATGGAAAACATATGTTTGGTGTATTTGATACCATTTCACCTATTCCACTCCAGCCATTACCACAAGACCGTCCTCCCCAATTAAGGTCCCACCAACCTCCTGCGATGAAACCTCTAACACAATAAATTAATTTGACTTGGTGAAAATCGTTTTTTTGGACTTAACTTGCTTACCACTTTTTCCATGTGGTTTCTTCCTTCACAAACTCTGTGAAATGATGACCTCTTCCTAAATATTTGTTCAAATTATGAATTTTGTGTAGGGTTAGAAACAAGGGTGGCCTACACAATAGCAAGCCATGTTTCTTTCATTAACAATGTGTTTTGTTGAAGTAATTTATTTTCAGAATGTGAATTCTTCAGTGCTTTTTTAATTGATTGATGTGTCTTATATTAGTATATCATTATAATTGTTACATGGTTTAATGTAGAAAAATCTGTCAATCAACTTTGCTAAAACATTTCTTTAGAAATCGACCCTTCCACTATATAGCGTGGAAAAACATTCACATGCTTTTTTTTTATTTTTTATGTGTATTAAACATATATTAAAGCTGTGAAAAGCATAATCTTATATTTTTCTCTCGTGGCTTTGTTGGCTGTTGCTTCTCAGGGAAGACTTAATGCCACCACCACCCTAGGTTGTCGGTTCCCTCCTCATGATGAAATGGATCAGTCATGCATTGTTGGACAGTTGCCATTGGAGCCTGCAGCTGGGAAGCTTGGAAAAGTCACATGAAGGCCAACTTGTGGAAGGAAGTCTTCCCCTGTGGACAACTCCCTTTTTCCAACCTAAGAAAATACCAGCCATCAAGCAACGAAACAACCAATAAAATAATCAGCAAACGTTTGCTGATCCCATGGATGTCCACAATCAATCCCAGGGCTTGTATTCACAAATAGTATTATAGTAGGAGTGCTAATCTAAGATGAGGTCCCCACGTCCATGTTAGCCTATTCTTTATGATTGAAAAGGGAAGACTCCTATTCGGAGATGCCCGGATGCCCTTCATTCTATTAACCACAGAAAAGAAGAGCCAATTGAACACAGGTCCCCATGCTTTACCTAATTTAAACGTATCAAGTAACACTAAATGTACAGTATGTTTTAAAGTGAAGAAGTGATAGGGTCATAAATTGCAACAATTCATGTTTAAAGGTTTATTTTTCTCCAAACAAACAGTAATAAACAGGCTTGAAGAGCAAATATACAGTACATCTAATACTTTTTTAAATACATTTCATACAGGTCTGTCCATTATTCTGGTCACTGTACATAAGTACAAAAATTATCTTTTGAAATCTCTGTAGTTACAAGGGACTGCATATTGGACAGAGCCACAGTAGTCATTCTGACATTCTTAATTGCTTTGATGCTAATTCTCTAAACCTGAATTGCACAGCAACTCAAAACAAAGCATTGATAACACACACACACACATATACGTTTCATAACCCCTTAAAAGCAAAAAATAATAATAATAGGCAGTTCTAGCAAAGATTTGTAAGTATTGATAAAAGCAATCTATATTTCACAATAATCAAGCCATGTTTCTGATAATACTTGTAAAAGTTGTAAAGAGAAAAGTAAACTGATGTTGTAAGATACTTGACTGAGCAGTCAGGTTGTACATACAATAGTGTTTAAATAAGTTTCATCGAGACAAAGGAATGCGAGACAAATTACTGAAAAAGGCTAATAAAGTGAACTGAATTGAACTGATCTTCCTCCTCACATTCCATAAGTGCTCATAAACTGGCTAATATATGAAACATACAAAGAATTGACTAAAGTAGTAATGATGTGCCATTAAAGAATGGATACCGAAGTTCATTTGTGATTTGTGATCATTTTGGGGAATCTGTTCACTGTTTTGTGTTGAATTCTTACTGCACTTATGTAGCATGTAGTAATCAATTTGTAAATAAGAATGTTTCACCTATTTACAGAAAAACTATACATCGCAAAGTACACATTTGGAAAAAGACATCAGATTTACATTGTATGTAACAAACATGGAAACAGTGGGGGGAAAAAATCTAAAAGCTGTGGTATAGAAATATCTAAGAACTGTAAAATGTAATGCACCAAGAGGAATTTCAAGCCACATAGAGAAATACAAAGCATTTAGTGGCAGTGCAAAACTGGCTTTTAATAATGAGTTACTAGGATGCCTGTTTTTATCATATTTGATCATAAGCAAAAATGCAAATAGTTCTCTCTATAAATAGTACAGCATTTCTTAAATATATTGGTTTATCAGTGATAGACATAAGTTATAAGTTAAATATCCAATAGCAGAGCAAATATACTGCCATTCGAGTAAACAACCACATCCAGAGGTCACGAGAATTCAAAAGGAAAGTATGAGCCTTCATACAATATGTCAAAGCATCTATCATATCTCAAGCCCACACTTACACAAACAGTATCCCTGGTTAAAAGCAACCTCCATCCATTTCAATGACACACTCAAACGTTATACATTCCTATAGATACCTTGCCATTGCATATGGAGAAAAATACTAGGTTCATGAAGCCACATTCAGATACAGTTACTCCAGCCCTGAAAATACCCCAAAAAGCAGTTGTTTTATCATTTGCCCTTTCGTTTACATTCGCTTGCTGTGCAGTAGCAGACTTGGACCCATTTGCAATAGAATAAAAGTGGTTTTCATACATGCACTCTTGACACATAGCACTCAACACTAGTCAAACTGAAGCATCACTAGCAAGCGGATGAAAGGAAGACCTGCCTCCACTGGCTCACCTCTAGACTTCGACCTATACAGTGTAGCCCATAGAAATAGTCATTCTATAGTAATTCTATTTCTATAGTGTAATTAGCCTGGTCTGTTAGAGAGGGAACACACCTCCCACCTCCCTCCCTTGAACCCAGTACAGAGCTTCCGACTGTTAGGTATGGCAAACAGAGAGGGAGAGAGAGAGAGAGAGAGCGTGGTGCGGTCGCGGTAAACAGCGGGATCATCAAACGGCAGTCTCCTGGTCCTCTCGCTGGATCATCTGGTAGTGCTGGCGGTTCTCCAAGTACTCCGCTAGCTCCTGGTCATTGGCCTTCTCCGCACGCCTGCTTCGGCGTCTCACCCTGAGGAAGGGAGATTGGTATAAGGGGGTGGAAAGAGAGAGGGGGGTGAAGGGATAGAGAAAGAAGATGGGATGAGAGAGAGAGAGAGAGAGAGAGAGAGAGGAGAGAGAGAGAGATAGCAGATAAGCTTCTGCGAGAGAGAGGAGAGAGCGAGAGCGAGAGAAAGAGAGCATAGCGCTCTTCTCGAATAGAGCTCTCTCTTCTCTCTCTTTCTCTTCTTCTCTCTCCTCTCTCTCTCTCTCTCGCTCTCGCTCTCTCTCTCCTCTCGCTCTCCTCTCCTCTCTCTCTCTCTCTCCCTCTCCTCCCCTCTCCCCTCTCTCTCCTCTCTCTCGCTCTCTCTCTATCTCTCTCTATAGCGATAGATAGAGAGAGAGAGGGACAGAGATGGACACAGCCTAATTCATTAAGGTAATTTACCAGAAGGTCAGTCTTCATGAGGGAAGCCCCGGCCTCCACCAGGTAGTGGCAGATGGTCCTCTGACGCGTGAACGCAGCTTTATGGAGAGCCGTCTCCCCTCTGTGTCACACATAGACACACACACACACACACACACATACACAAAGACACACATGAAATTTGTCACTCAGGTTGTGTTGTAGCTGGGAGCTCTAGGTTTGACCCAGTTGACAGACTTTTTCCAGGAACTAATTCATATAGATGAGGTGATTTTAATTTGAATTATTTGAGGGCAGAGCTAAGCTTTCATAGTAATCAGTAGAGAGTTGACCTCAGAAATAGGCCTTTGGTGTGGAAACCGGTTGCATGACGTTCTGTCAAACTATTTTATGCAGAAAATCAGTAAAAGGAAGTTGACAACATGACTCACGTCTCTTTTTCTGTGACATCCAGGAGAGTGGTAGGTGCTGTGTGTTAAAACATGAACAGGATTCAGATATTGCATCCACTATCTATGTACACACAAGTATTTATAATATAATAATAATATGCCATTTAGCAGACGCTTTTATCCAAAGCGACTTACAGTCATGCGTGCATACATTTTTGACTGTCATTCATGTTGGATGTGTTCAAATGTTTCTTTATGTTTGATCAACAACAGTGAGGGAAAATGTTAATATGTTCATTGGGTTTATATGTGATACTGCAGAGTGCTTCCATTATCGAGAACTTAAGAATTAAACAGTGTCATATCAGTACTTAATACCTAAAGTGATGGGAGTCAACTGCAGTGTTTGATGGGTCAGTCTCCTACCGTGGTCTATGATGTACTTAGCAATCTCCTTGCAGCCCACCTCCACTGCGTAATGGAGTAAGGTACAGCCCAAAGTATCCTGTGTGAAAATATCTGCCCCCTGTTTGTGGAGCTCTGTGAGCTGTGAAAAAAAAGAAAATTCATTTACAGCCCTTCAACTTGACAGTGCTTCAACTTTACAGTCATTAAACTTTGCAGTGTTTCAATTTGAAAGTACTTCAAAGTGCTTCAACTTGCTTTCCCTTTACTGCACCTCAACTTGTAAACCCACATTTGCCTACTATCTTACATTTTTTAAAGTGAGGGGTCAAAAGTCAATGTAAAAACACTGTTAGAGGAGGATGCATGGTAGGAATGAATGCTGTCTAACTAAACATGTAATTTACTTACCCTTTCGAGATCTTCTGTCTTCACACACTCAATTAACTCAGTTACTGTAAAAACAGAGTAAGGCATCTATACTCTTTACAATTTACTTATGAGGCTTTTCACTATATTTTTGAACAGTGGACCTTAAACAAAGCAAGGCTGAAACCTTTATGTGTGTAAATACAATATGGTTCAAATTAGGGCTGGGCAACATGGCCAAAATATCATAGCACAATATATTTCTTATTTTTGATGGTATTTTATGTTTCTGAATAATGAAAGTTCTAAATATGTTTTGAGTAGTACATGACCATAGGATGGCCACAAATTAATTCAAAGTGGTTTTAATTTTCTTTCTCCATTCTGACTGTATTAAACTCAACCAAACTATTAAACAGCCAAAACTGACAGTGAAGCAGTCCAATTTGTACAACTTTTCATTTATTTAGCACTGTGTCAAAATACCTTTATAGACGGTATTGTAAAAATCCATACTGGTATGGAAGTACGGTTGTACCTATCCATTCAGATTACTGAGAACAAATCAACAGGGGATGTTTTACCTTTTTCAGTATCACATGACAGAGCACTTCCAGAACTGTGAGAAAAGGGCAAAAGACAGATTTGACACAAAGCTAAATGACATTGCACTGAGATGATGATAATCATAACAACTAAAAGCATGGCAAGTAAGCATGGCAGTAAGTGTGACACATACAGAAACAGACAGCATACCTAAGCATGGGTCTGAAATCAGCAATAGTTGTGTGGGACTGATGAACATTGACCATTTTAGGCCCTCTCCTTCAAAGACAAAGACAGGACAAAGCATGGATGACACATCATACACATTAAGGGGTTTGTGAGAAAGCTTGCTTAAAACAAAATGCATTATTATTAAACACAACAATAATTGGGTAAGTGAGCCAGACCTGGGTTCAAATACTATTTAGAGTAGGCCTATTTCAATAACTTTTAAAGACATTTGGTAGTAAGTATTTTTATATTTTTTATTTGAAAACAAAAGTAGTTGAATATTGGAAATACTGTACACTTGGAAGGTATTGGCATGTATTTGAAAATACTGAAATGCACAGTATTTATACAAATAATTAAATACTCCCATGCATTTGAACCTGGTCTGTTTGGTATTTGAAATAAGGTATTTGGAAATAAGATTTTTGAAAATACTTTCAAAAAGTAAGCAATTTGTAGAAAAGTATTTGAAAATACTTTCAAATACTTCCAAAGGAAGTATTTGATTTGTGCCACCTCATTTGAAAATACCCAAATACACAGAAAATAAGTATTTAAATAACAAATAAATGTATTCGATCCCAGGTTTGGAGTGAGCTAAAATTAGCCTTAGGGAACAATGCTGAATCAAGTTCCTTGGAAGCTTTTGAATACTTGAATGGAACATGTGTATAATAAATCATTTATCTTATGACTCAATACATACTGAACCTGAGAGAGATGACATGGCTTTGTGACACTTAGCTTTGTCACATCATTGTCTTACGCCAACCGACAATGCAGGCGGAATTGTCGTGCTATCTGACATAAGACAATGTTGTTACATAGCAAGCCATACTGCTATGCTGATGGCTCACCATGAAGATGAGAACACAGATCCACTATAATTAAAACAAACCCTCATGTATGCTGTGAAGTAGCTATAGTTATAATAACTACCCAATTGTCAACATTTTGAGATCTGATGTTCTACCAACATTGTTTCAAGGTAGTTTGGTTATCGCTCCTGGCCATTGCTCGTGACCAGTATGCTACGATGCCACAACATTAGAATGTAGACACTGATTGAACAGTCATCCAAAAGACACCACAGTTCAACAAGGGTCTGATAATTGATCTGATAAATAAGATTGGTGCAACCATAGGCCAACATTAAATGGACTGATTAATTGGTAAAACCATACTACAACTGAAAATGCCCACTAAGATGTATAGGAATCAGGCTAAAGTCAGGGTCTGACCTGCACAGGCCGGTCTTGGAGGAGGCCTGGGAGTCGCTGCTGTGAGCCAGGGCCTCTGTCACCGAGCTGTCACTGGACACCCTCTTCCTCTGGGACTCACTGATCCTGCAGGAGGGGAGGGAGGACAGGTACAGGTTAGTGACTGGGAGAAGGACCACTCAGTACAGTAATAACAGAACTTTTATGTTTTACATTCTCGCCAATATCTACGAATAGAATTGTCATTGTTGCGCTCAAAAGTTTGTGAGTGTGTGTGTGTGTGTGTGTAAAATCGGTCGTCAGTCTCTCTGTCTGTGACCCAGCCATGTAGTTGTGTCATCTTCCCTGAGGGGAGCCAACATTCTTTACAGGACCAGATCTGGATAATGAGCTATTGTTCATCACCAGGAACCACACGACCCTCACTGTATTGACTTAACAGGAAAGGGGAGCTTTGGTGGTGCGCAACAGGGAGTGACAGTCAGACAGCAATGAAAGAGGAAGGGAGGTTTGTGTGTGTGAGTGTGTGAGTGTGTGAGTGTGTGTGCTTATCTTTTCAAATAAATATGGTTCAAAGATGCAAAGAAACCAAGCTAAAGTGCATCCAATTAAAAGATTACCCTGTTCAGTCTCTAAAACATAAAGGGACGGTTTCCCAGACACAGATTAAGTTTAGTTCTAGACTAAAATGCATTTTTAATGGAGATTAGGCTTAATCTGTGTTCAGGAAACCGCCCCGTATAGTGTTCTTCCTCTCACCTGGGTCCTGGGGAGGAGGTGGGTGAGGAGGAGGAGGATGGGAAGGTAAACTGGCGAGATTCGGGCGTTTTGCACTCCCCGTACGAGTCTACCAGGTCGGGCATGCCCGGTGAGGTGCCCACCGTCTCCTTGATGACCAGCTCCGGGTCCAGGATGTAGAGATCGTCCTGGGAGATCTCCGTCACGTAGTTGAGGTGCTCCTTGAGGTTATAACAGTTTATAACTGTGTTTATTAAAGAGTCAAGACAGTGGGTCATCACAACATGCCTCATTAAAACCCTGGACAATGGCCTTGCATACTTATAAGCTTTCCCATAATGTCCAGGAGTTTTTCCTAGGCAAGTCATGTGGTCAGGAAAAAAACTATATTTTGTAATAGACTGACATATTCACAAGTCAGTGTTTCCCCTAGGATTGCTTATTTATTTATTTATTTTGTTATTTGTTGTTGGGGGGGTGTTGCAAGTACATTATCCATTTGAAATTATACGTTTATAAAACATGTACCCGTAGGCTGCCACTCAACAACAAAAAAGACGGTTACAAAGACATACAAAGTTTAAGTGATAATAAATTCAGTATAAACAGGAATATAAAACAAAAAAAGAAATAGGCCTCCAACCCGCCATCTCTGGTTGATTGAGAGATTCAAGAAGCTATCATCGTTAAGTAACATAATAGATGCAGAGCATTGAATATTTACATTCATGCAATTCGAAATGAATTTAGTAACTTTGCCCCAAAAGCATTTAACTGCAGGGCACTCTCACATCAAATTGAGGATTGTGCCTACCTGATTTAGGGGACAGAGTGAACAGTTGGGAATTTCATCGTAAAACGTTTCCTTGGTATTAAACAACTTAAAATGTATAAGTTGATTGTTCGGATTAAGGGATGCCAAGGTCATATTTTTTTATTTCTCTTCCAGTTAAAGAGTAGTTCAGATTCAATTAGATCTGTAGACGATACTTTTTTAATGGCTAGCTCAGAATATGAGCTTTCCAAAAGTTGTTAATATATTATAGAGATCAGTCCCATTCAGAGCCCAGATAATTTATTTATAAATCCCATCATTGGATGGTTCGGTAGTTGGGTTTCCCAAGGGACTCCATAGGCCAGCATAGCTGACCTAAGTTGTATGTATAGAAAAAAGGATTTGCCTGGTAATGTGTATGCATCTTTCAAATCTTGGAATGTTCTCAAACCAGTACTGTCCATGATATCGCATGGGTACGGATTCCACATTTGGACCGCTGGGGTGATGCAAAAGGCCGCCCTCTAGATCGCAAGGCGTTATTGTGAAATATTAGAGTATGGGCATGCTATTTTGATTCCAGTTACACTCTTTTTCAATTTTGCGGCAAATAGAAATTGTTTGACCAATAATAGGACCAAAGCGTAGTTTACATTGTTTAAGGGATATATCAGTGAAGCCCACCTCTTCCAGGGCAATAAGAGACCCCATATTTCACTCTATACTCAGCCAGGGGGCGGAAGAATCATGTCTAAACAAATTTAGGATGGGATGAAATGCTAGTGTCTGGAAATACAATTTAATTTAATTTTGCTATGGATGGTCCTCTACGTCTTTCCCTCTTTGTAAGTTTGTTAATTTTATCCGGAATCGTTTACCTTGACATATACATTTTTAAGCCGAACTATGAAGGGGGAGCCATGGGAACCATTGAACTACCGAAATTCAGCCATTAATTTTAGATATTAATAGATATTCTGCCGGTTAAAGCAACTGTGATATTAGTCCATCTACTGAGGTCAGATTGAATTGAGCGTTCTGTTAAAGTTTCTGGGGTAGGAAGGAAATATATCTATTCCCAAATATTTAAAATGTATGCACTCACTAACTGTAAGTCCCTCTGGATAAGAGTGTCTGCTAAATGACTAAAATGTAAATGTAAAATAGGAAACGATTGGGATTCCATAAGTACCGATGGAGTCCTGCTTCGGGGTCTTGAGAGGCAGAAGGACAGATTTGGTTCGATTTATTTTATAACCTGAGATGGAAGTGAATTTGTCTATGATCTTCAAAGCTTTTGGGAGGGATTGAAATACATTGTCTAGTTAAAGTAAGATATTGTCGGTGTATAATGAGATGACTTGATCCATAGGTTTTTGATATATTGGTGTAATTTATTTTGATTGTCGAATTGCCTGGACCAGTGGCCCCTAGGATTTTTTTTTCAGCAGCGGTGGCAAAGCTACCTGAAGTATATGGGAACAGCATACTAGCTGTTATAGACTCCATAAACTTCTAGTCATTGATTGCACTAACGCTAGTTAGCAAATGCGCTAATGCTAGTTAGCAACTTCCTTCAAACTGCATGCAAGACATAAAAAGGGTATGCATGAGTTCATCTGCCTATGGGTAAGTAGAAAAAGGGCCTAATTGCCTAAATCTTGCACTATCCATTAAAAAAAGTTACAGAAATAAATAAAAATTACATCATATTTTTTGGAGTGGTGGCAACGATTTAGCATTGGTGGGCCACAGATGCTAAATGAATATAGGGGAAACAAGTACATACCTGAGCACGGTCTATCCTGTAGAATCGATCAGCAGTTGTGCCTGAAAAGAAAGCAAACACCTTTCTGAATCTACATGTCCCTGTCCATATACTGACATTGCATACCTGGACAGAAACTTAATGCTGCATTTCAATTGTTTCCAAAATGAGGAAGCTAGTTCTCTTATAAAATACTCTATTTGTTCAGGTAGCAATACTTACAGTCAAGGAAGCACCATTTGGGGGAAAGCTTTTGTGACGACAGCCTCTCTGATTTCACAGCATCACTTTCCTGTAAGAGAATAATAGAACAGCGTAATTATGTCATCGAATTTCCTACTGGTTGGACAGGAAGTAACATCTTTATAAGCCAGGTACTTCAGTTCTTTCAGAGGAGCATATGTAGCTTGTGTGCATGTCACACATCAGTTTGTTCCCTGAAGTACATCTGAGCTCCACTAGGGAGCACAGCAGACAACATGAAGTCTATCATATGGTCAATTATTTAAGGACACTCCCTCATTTTCCTCTCTTCTCTCACTCTCTCACTCTCACCCCAGTTCCTTTTCTCTCGCTTTTACTTCTTTTGACACTCATTCATTCTTTCGCCCACACGTATTTCCTCTCTCTCTCTCTCATTCTCACTCTTTCATTCTCTATCACACTACCTATAAATGGACCTGGCCAATCCGTACTCCCACTCCTCCCTACAGTTGCGGGCACCAAAAAGTTAGGTTGCGTCACCGTATCGGCAGAACAATTGCCGCAATGTGTGTGCAACAGGGTTTTTAAAAAAACGCTTTTAGTTCCCACAACTGTACGTCTCCTACATGCTCCTCCTGTACACACCTCTTCCAGACTGTCCTGCAGACTCTCAATGTGTGAACGGCAGTTCTCCAGATCGCTGTCTCCTGGGACCGTGATGATGCCCAGTGGGATAGCTAAGACAGGGAAAAGACATTCAGTTACAGTAGTTTGCTAATGGGCTGGAGCAAAAGCCTGCATGTATGGATCTGCGATATCCCTGCCATAGTGGTGTCCTTAGTAAAGGAATGACAGAGGTGCAGTGTGTAGAATATGTATGTTTATACTCACAGGCCTCTTTGAGCTTGTCCTTGTCGTAGTGCAGGGCCTCATAAGCGTGCATACTGATCCTGCTCACTCTGATCTGCAGCTTCTCAGGAACCGGCTGCTGACTGAGAGGACACAGACAGAAACATGATGTTTGTACATATTGTATAGGTCAGTGTTTCTTAATGCTGGTCCTGGGGACCCAAAGGAGTGCACATTTTAGTTTTTGCCCTAGTACTACACACCTGATTCCACTAATCAACTCATCAAACCTTTGATTAGTGGAATCAGGTGTTTATGCTAGGGCAAAAACTAAAATGTGCACCCTTATGGGTCACTAAGACCAGGATTAAGAAACACTGGTATAGGTTATTATTGGCCGGGAGAGAGCTCCTAGACATCCATATGGAATCAAATGGGTAGCCTTAACTCTAGCCTCGACTACAATCATTCTAGGTTTCTGATCAAGCCAATTCTGGAACGGGAATACAGTGTTGAGGTCTGGTATCACAAGGTTTATGGCTACTAACTCATTGAGCTGGGGCATGGAGATCCTCCTCTTGGTCTTCTGCACCATGTTGGCCTGGTTCCTCAGGTTGATGTGGATGACGGAAGGGGCCAGCTTACAGGGCTCGCCGTCCACCTGCATGGGGATGGACTTGTACGTGGTCAGGGTCACCTCCTTACACTGGTTCAACCTCTCGCCGTGACCACCCACCTGCAGAGTGGCCTGGAGGGACGGAGAGGAAGAGAGAGAGAGAGAGAGAGGACATTGAACTGAATTGAATACATTTTATTGATCCCCAAAGCGAAATTGAGAGATACTGATGAAAGATAAACAATGATGTTGTAATGAAAACAACATTCCGACAACAAAATATATAAGACGAAAGAGTCCAATGGTGCTTAAAATAACAAAACAGATATACACAAAGTCTACAATGTGCAGGTTAGGCTGTACAAATGGTAATGAATATATTCCATGAGATGTGAGAGGACATCAGGTACGGTTGAGAGCTCACCAGAGAGGTCATGGTGAATCCGATGACCTCGATGCAGCCGTCGTCATGTCTTTGCGGCTCAAAGTCAAGGTGCTCACTGGGGTGACCCCACGGCTTGGTGCCGGCACAGTAACTGCAGCACACAATAAATACAACACTTGATAAAAGGTATATAATGCATAATTCTTTATAACTTGTTGCAAACATGTATGAGCCTTTATTATGTCTTTTAATAAGACTTCTAATATGGTATGTCTCTCTATTAAGGAAATGTTCTACCGACTCAAAATGGCTGGTATTTTGTCAGGCTATAGAAATGTACTAGAGAGGTCCCGTGTAGCTCAGTTGGTAGAGCATGGCGCTTGCAACGCCAGGGTTGTGGGTTCGATTCCCACGGGGGGCCAGTATGAAAATGTATGCACTCACTAACTGTAAGTCGCTCTGGATAAGAGCGTCTGCTAAATGACTAAAATGTAAATGTCATCTCCTATTTCCGCAATGACCTCTTCTGTGACAGCATGGGCAGAGCTATTGAGGGCCATCTTCAATTTAAAGTAGTCCATGTATTACTTATTACTTACTTCTATGAGTGTATAGGGATATATTTGTAAATAAACTGAAAAGGTGCATACCACCACCTACTGTGCTGGAGTGTGTATGGTCTGAACAGGTAAAAGCTAAGGGTGGTGATTTACTGCCACCTGCAGCGGTTATAGAATGTTTGCTCAGGAGTATAATTCATTGGCTGACCCCTCCTGCTGACCTGGATGGAATGATGGGGATCCTTCATTAACCCATAGCAAGTCCCATGCAAAACAGGCTCTATGAGTCATGCACATAATGAGATGAATATATCACATTATAAGGGTGTCATACAGTACATGCTCATGATAAGTCTTACAATGCCGTATAACAGCATCATAATGCATATCTACAGCACAGAGGAACAGGTGGAATACTGGTCCATTTGTATCGTTCTGTGTGTCCATTCAATTGATTTAATGCCTATAAATGGGAGTGTATACAGTGCATTCGGAAAGTATTCAGACCCCTTGACTTTTTCCACATTTTGTTACATTACAGCCTTATTCTAAAATGGATGAAATCGTTTTTCCCCTCATCAATCTACACACAATACCCCATAATGACAAAGCAAAAACAAGTTTAGAAGTTTTTGCAAATGTATTAAAAATAAAAAACGGAAATATCACATTTACATATGTGTTTTAGACCCTTTACTCAGTACTTGTTGAAGCACCTTTGGCAGCGATTACAGCCTTGAGTCTTCTTGGGTATGATGCTACAAGCTTGGCACACCTGTATTTGTGGAGTTTCTCCCATTCTTCTCTGCAGATCCTCTCAAGCTCTGTCAAGTTGGATGGGGAGCGTCGCTGCACAGCTATTTTCAGGTCTCTCCAGAGATGTTCGATCGGGTTCAAGTCCGGGCTCTGGCTGGGCCACTCAAGGAAATTCAGAGACTTGTCCCGAAGCCACTCCTGCATTGTCTTGGCTGTGTGCTTAGGGTCATTGTCCTGTTGGAAGGTGAACCTTCGCCCCAGTCTGAGGTCCTGAGCGCTCTGGAGCAGGTTTTCATCAAGGATCTCTCTGTACTTTGCTCCGTTCATCTTTCCCTCAATCCTGACTCGTCTCCCAGTCCCTGCCGCTGAAAAACATCCCCACTGCATGATACTGCCACCACCATGCTTCACCATAGGGATGGTGCCAGGTTTCCTCCAGACGTGACACTTGGCATTCAGGCCAAAGAGTTAAATCTTGGTTTCATCAGACCAGAGGATCTTGTTTCTGATGGCCTGAGAGTCCTTTAGGTGCCTTTTGGCAAACTTCAAGCAGGCTGTCATGTGTCTTTTACTGAGGAGTGGCTTCTGTCTGGCCACTCTACCGTAAAGGCCTGATTGGTGGAGTGCTGCAGAGATGGTTGTCCTTCTGGAAGGTTCTCCCATCTCCACAGAGGAACTCTGGAGCTCTGTCAGAGTGACCACCGGGTTCTTGGTCACCTACCTGACCAAAGCCCTTCTCCCCCGATTACTCAGTTTGGCCGGGTGGACAGCTCTAGGAAGAGTCTTGGTGGTTCCAAACTTCTTCCATTTAAGAATGATGGAGGCCATCGTGTTCTTGGGGACCTTCAATGCTGCAGAAATGTTTTGGTACCCTTCCCCAGATGCCTCGACACAATCCTGTCTCGGAGCTCTACGGACAATTCCTTCGACCTCATGGCTTGTTTTTTGCTCTGACATGCACTGTCAACTGTGGGACCTTATATAGACAGGTGTGTGCCTTTCCAAATCATGTCCAATCAATTGACTTTACCACAGGTGGACTCCAATCAAGTTGTAGAAACGTCTCAAGGATGATCAATGGAAACAGGATGCACCTGAGCTCAATTTCGAGTCTCATAGCAAAGGGTCTGAATAATTACGTAAATATGGTATTCTTATTCGCTTTGTCATTATGGGGTATTGTGTGTAGACTGATGAGGAATTTGTATTTATTTAATCCATTTTAGAATAAGGCTGTAACGTAACAAAATGTGGAAAAAGTCAAGGGGTCAGAAGACTTTCCGTATGCACTGGAGTGTCCCATCAGTTTCAAAATATTCTAAATGTTTACCTGGGAATGTTGAGGAACACAAGACACTGCAACTTCAGGTCCTGGACTTTGGAGGTGAGGTCTGTGCCGTCACACTGATGAAGAGGGGTTTCAGAGAAACAGAGTACAGACCATAGAGTTACACATACAGTCCCAGTCAAAAGTTTGGAAAGAAAAACCCTTGAATGAGTAAGTGTGTCCAAACTTTTGACGGGTACTGAATATCTCTAGAAGGGACATTGGTATCCTAGAAACATGCCTAAAAATCTACCATCTTCGCCAGGAAAATGTTAATTCTAGAAACGGATCAAATATGGTATTTAGACACTCAGTCTTGGGACACATCCACATTCTTTAACGTTGTGCTCTGGGTCTTAGTCCCATTCAGGTCTACAACAGGTTTAGAAGTCCACTCACCACAACTTTAATGTGTTTGGCAAGGTCTTTGGAGCTGCCGCTCAGAAAGTCAGAGAAGGCCGTCTGCAATAAAGAATCCAATAAAGAATCAGGTTCGTCTTCAGTAGGAAAACAGTTTGAAACAAAGTGAAATGGGGATGTACTATCTGAACTTGTCCAATAAGAATGCTGGCTTTCTGTTTAAAACCGTTTTGAAACATTTTGCCCTAATGAACATGACCTAGATATAAAGTAAAGCAAATCAGACACAGAGCAAACAACTCCATAGTGGGAGAGGAGCAAAGTTATATATTTTGTCAAAGCACTCACCCCTGCATAGAACATCTTATTCCGCAAACGGCTGTTGAATTTCTCTGGGTTGGCCTCTAAGGAGAGAGAGACTGCTTTAGACTTCCGCTATAGTAACATTTATTATAGTGACTCATTTCAGCTAGCAAAAGTAATTTCAGCTAGCGAAATATGCTAATTTTTGACAAACCTCTGGACTCGTGGAACCCCAGTGTGACATGAGCGTCGAAGCCAAGGCTGAAGTAGTTGTTGAAGACATCAATTGGGAGCTAACAGACAAAGCAGAGACACATGATGTCAACAGAAATACAGTGCCCTCTGTTATTATTGGGACAGTGACAAATGTTTCGTTTTTTTGGCTCTGTACTCCAATACTTTTGGGGGACTATGTACAAAAAGTGCTCTAATTTCTAATACCATCAAATTTAAGCGGACAGTCTGCACTTTAACCTCATAGTCATTGTATCATTTCAAATGCAAAGTGCTGGAGTACAGAGCCAAAACAACAACAAGAAAATGTTTCATACATGTTCAAATCCCATAATCAAATCAAACTTTATTTAAAGTGCATTTAAAATCCCAACACACTTCAAATTAAAACAATAATAAAATAATATAAAAAACAGAGGTTGTGTAAAAACTTACAGGTATTAAAAGCTTGGCTAAAAAGGTGGGTTTTTAAAAGTGATTTAAAAACCTCAAATGGCGTCTGCCCCTCTTACCTGACAGGGCAAGCTGTTCCACAAATTAGGTACTTTACTAGAGAACACTCCGTCCCCCGCCTTGGTTCTGCATCTGGGAACCATAAGCAGACCGGCTCCTTGGGAGCGGAGCGCCCTCACTGGGTTGCATTGAACAAGCATGTCCGTCAGATAAAAGGGGGCAAGGCCATGCAGTGCCTTAAAAGTTAAGAGTGAGATCTTAAAATCAGACCGATAGTTTACAGGCAGCCAGTGTAGCGCAGATAAAACTGGAGTGATGTGTTCATGCCTTCTAGTGTTAGTTAAAATCTGAGCTGCAGTGATCTGTACAAGTTGTAGGCTTCTAATATTACAGTCTGAACAGCTGGAGAGGAGGGCATTACAATAGTCTAGCCTAGATGAAACAAATGCATGGATGAAGTGTCTAATTATGGAAATGTTCCTGAGATTGAAGTATGCTGTTCTGGATGTGCTTTTTATGTGGTTGTCAAAAGTAAGGCCGGGGTCAAAGGTAACACCAAGGTTTTTAACCATGTTTGATGTAATGAGACAACCATCAATGTTGAGAGTGAGGTCTGACACTTTGTTTCTAAATGTATTGTGGCCAAGTAGCATCATTTTCGTCTTATCAGAGTTTAAAAGCAAGAAGTTGGTTGTCATCCAGTGTTTAACATCTGTGTCTCAAGCATCATCTGGTTTAAAATATAAATACAACTGGGAATCATCAGCGTTGCAACGAAATTGTATGTTGTGCTTACAGATGACATTACCAAGGGGTAGCATGTACAAGGAAAATAAAAGGGGTCCAAGCACAGAACTTCGGGGAACGCCAAATTCAACCTTGGAACATTCAGATGAATTATCGCCCAGCTGAACAAATTGATACCACTCAGAGACGTATGATTTGAACCAGTTGAGAACCTGTCCTCGTAGACCAACCAAGTATTCTATACTCTTAGTGAGAATAGCATGATCAATCGTATCGAAGGCAGCACTTACATCTAAAAGAAGAAAAATAGAGATGTGACCACGGTAAGAGGACAACATTAGGTCATTTACTACCTTGACAAGCGCAGTCTCAGTGCTGTGAAATGGTCTAAAAACTGTATTGGGAGGTTTCAAAGATACTGTGTGATGTCTGCTGCTGGGCTACGGCCTTCTCTAGTATCTTAGAAAAGAAGGGGAGTTTTGAGATCGGCCTAATTACAGCCAATTTAAGAGACTGATCATAGCATAACCTTCAAAAACATATTAAGCAATTACAAACGACATCATTGAATCGCATTTAAAAAAACTATGTTATGCTTGTGATGTCCTTATCTAAATTAGCCCATACGCTTTTGACGGCTGGTGTGAGACACTCTAAACTGAGTTAACCTTGTCTGTCTGGTGCTCGTCTTTCTCCTCGTGACCGGCCTCTGGGTTGGGCTCCACCAGGAGGTTCCAGCGGTCCAACTGCACCATGTTCCCATCCTCCACATGAGACAGGATCTTAGACACTGGCTCATCAGTGTAGCCCTGCGGGATAAGACGAGAGAGGAATTTCATAAAACCAAAAGAAAAAAACATACATCCTCAATATCTAACTGAAATATTTTAAACAATACTGAAACAATGCAACTTGTATTGTGTTAATCTGATTGTGTCTTTTCTTGCTATTGTGTCTCATTCCTCATAGATTTGCCTCTCTGATGACACAAGATAGCCTACTTAGCCTACCCAATATAGTCTATAGCCTAACAGCGATTCAATAGCCCATGGTATTTTTAAGCAATAAGGCCCAAGGGGGTGTGGTATATGACCAATATACTACGGCTAATGGCTGTTCTTAACCACGATGCAACGCGGAGTGCCTGAATACAGCCCTTAGCCGTGGTATATTGGCAATCCCCAGAGGTGCCTTATTGCTATTATAAACTGGTTACCAACATAATTAGAACAGTAAACAAGTAATTTTGAATCATACCCGTGGTATATACCACGCAGCATCCAGGAGCCAAACTACATGGTTAATAATCTAGGATAAATCCCTAGTTCATGGTGTGGTTCCACACAGTGAGCCAGCCACTCACCCCTCCCCAGTTGAGAGTCCTGGCCAGGTCGTTCCCCGTCCCCAAGGGCAGGACAGCCACGGCAGGCGCAGGGTTCAACTGGAGCTGGTCCAGGACAGACAGGATCCAACCCACCTGGCGAACCAGGTAATTAGAACAATAATTCACTTCCTGAATGGCACATGCCACAGTCATAGGCAGACAGTGAACTACTCCTCTCCTTATAGTCCTTATATGCATTACGTTTCAGGAATAATTAATTATAATATTACTAATGTGAAGCTCTGATGTCTAGTACTCACTGTTCCATCCCCTCCACATGCCAAAATCCGCAGGTTGGGCACTTTGGAATACATTTCCAACCTTGAGGGGAAAAAACACAACCGGGCACACCAATTAAAAACACAACAACTGCTTACATTGAAATATCATTGTAAACATGACCAAAGTGTTAAGGTTTGTTAATGCAGCGGCTGTGTGTTTCTTACCCCTCCTTGGGCCCTCCCTGGGTGAGGTCAAACACCTGTCGGGGGTTGAGGTACCACATGAACGACTGGATGATCTTGGCTCCCTGGAAAACAATAGACATGAGTGTCGCAGAGGTGATTTGGAATTAGGGCTGTGGCGGTCACTCAATTTTGTCAGCCGGTAATTGTCATGCAAATGACTGCCGGTCTCACGGTAATTTACCAATAATTAACATAAACACGTTTAGCATCTCCGGCTTCCACGCATACAAGCTGCCTTTGGAACACCTACATTTAAAAAAGTTAAATAAATCAATTTAATATTGCCTATACCATCACAATAACATCTATTATTTACTTGTCCTCATAATTCAGATTATTAAAATTCAATCATGAAGTGTTCAGAAAGTGATTAGCGGGACAATAGAGCGCTGCATACCAGGCCATTAGCGAAGGCCGTTAACAAATTTGGTAGACTACCCATCAGCGCCATTCGTTTGCGAAGTTTTGGATGGGATTACCGTGACCAACAGTCACAAGGAATTTAACTACGTTATGAATCGTTACTGCCAGTGTGGCGGTAATACAGTCACCGCGACAGCCTTATTTGGAATCCCATTCACGTGATGAGGTAACCCTGTCTGAGATTATTAACCAATATGTCGCTCTCAAACCTAAAATAATTTACTGTAATGTTTAAGCTGTTGGGTCCCACAATGCATGGACATCATCAGTAATTCATTCGTAAACTAAGGGATGTAGACAGTGTAACTCTAACTTCAACGTAATTCTCTCATTGACATCAATGCATTCGGAAAGTATTCAGAGCCCTTGACTTTTTCCACATTTTGTTACGTTACAGGCTTATTCTAAAATGTATTAAATAGGTTGTTGTTTTTTCTTCTCATCAATCTACACACAATAACCCATAATGACAAAGCAAAAACAATTTTTGAAATATCACATTAACGTTTACATAAGTATTCAGACCCTTTACTCAGTACTTTACACTATTTATATAAATGACCCTTTACAATGTCTTGTAAATGTTGTTACATATGGTCCTCTGTAGGTCAATTGGTAGAGCATGGTGCTTGTAACACCAGGGTAGTGGGTTCGATCCCCGGGACCACCCATACGTAAAAATGTATGCACGCATGACTGTAAGTCGCTTTGGATAAAAACGTCTGCTAAATGGCATATCATATCATACTTTGTTGAAGCACCTTTGGCAGTGATTACAGCCTCAAGTCTTCTTTGGTGTGACGCTACAAGCTTGGCACACCTGTATTTGGGGAGTTTCTCCCATTCTTCTCTGCAGATCCTCTCAAGCTCTGTCAGGTTGGATGGGGAGCGTTGCTGCACAGCTATTTTCAGGTCTCTCCAGAGATGTTCGATCGGGTTCAAGTCCACTCAAGGACATTCAGAGACTTGTGCCGAAGCCAGTCCTGCGTTGTCTTGGCTGTGTGCTTAGGGTCGTTGTCCTGATGGAAGGTGAACCTTCGCCCCAGCCTGAGGTCCTGAGCGCTCTGGAGCAAGTTTTCATCAAGGATCTCTCTGTACTTTTCTCCGTTCATCTTTCCCTCGATCCTGACTAGTCTCCCAGTCCCATGATGCTGCCACCACCATGCTTCACCGTAGGGATGGTGCCAGGTTTCCTCCAGACGTGACGCTTGGCATTCAGGCCAAAGAGTTCAATCTTGATTTCATCAGACCAGAGAAGCTTGTTTCTCAGTCCTTTAGGTGCCTTTTGGCAAACTTCAAGCGGGCTGTCATGTGCCTTTTACTGAGGAGTGGCTTCCGTCTGGCCACTCTACTATAAATGGAGGCCACTGTGTTCTTGGGGACCTTCAATACTGCAGAAATATTTTGGTACCCTTCCCCAGATCTGTGCCTCGACACAATCCTGTCTCGGAGCTCTACAGACAATTCCTTCGACCTCATGGCTTGGTTTTTGCTCTGACATGGACTGTCAACTGTGGGACCTTATATAGACAGGTGGGTGCCTTTCCAAATCATGTCCAATCAATTGAATTTACCACAGGTGGACTCCAATCAAGTTGTAGAAAGATCTCAAGGATGATCAATGTAAACAGGATGCACGTGAGCTCAATTTCGAGTCTCATAGCAAAGGCTCTGAATACTTACGTAAATAATGTATTTCTGTTTTTTATTTTTTATACATTTGCAAACATTTATAAAAACCTGTTTTCACTTTTTCATTATGGGATATTGTGTGTAGATTGATGGGGACAATTTTTTATTTAATCAATTTTAGAATAAGGCTGTAACGTAACAAAATGTGGTAAAAGTCAAGGGTTCTGAATACTTTCTGAATGCACTGTATGTTTGAGTTGTGTGGACAAATCTAAAGGATTCAACCCCATACATAGTGGTTTCAAGGGCGCTGTGGATATTGAGCAAACTCACCTGGTTGCCTCCACTTTTGGGGTTGACGAACACCAGCAGAGGTTTCATGAGTTGCGAGGGAACAGGCTTCACTATGAAGGGCTTCCATCGACCATCCTGGAGCAGAGAAAACAGTTGAGACAGGAAGATCGCCGCCTCTGTTATCTCAATGTTCTCATCAACAAATGAGACAACATAAGAGGACATTATCATAATCACAATAGTTTTTATGTTAATATGATTTTCCTTACCTCTACTACCTTCTTACTCGGTTTTCCTTTCAGAGATGTGCGTTTCTTCTTTTTACTTGATTTTAATGACGTCTGAGGAGACAAAAACAATTACATCCATTGAATCAACATAACTGTGTTTGTGTGTGTGTGTTGATCATTGCAGTACCTGCGGTTTGCGGACCCGTATGATCCAGGTGGGCGGCACTATGACGGAGGCGTGAGCTCCCAGCGAGCAAGTCTCCTCTATCTGCTGTAGCATGAAGCACGTCACCTTGTTGTGATACTGGACAGAGGAGAGTACAACAATCAATACCATACCAAAGTTACCAAAGTCAGGATACACTCTCTGCTCCAACCTGAAATATCCATCTCAAACTGACCCAAAGTCAGTCTGTCCCAATTTGCTCCCCATCCCTTCCCCTTGACCTTAACGTTTCTATGTTTGCAGAACTGTAATGTGTAAGAAAAACAGTGGAAGCTCGACCACTAAACTGCTTATACCTATCCAGACCCTTCAGATATGCAAACATCGAAGAGTTAGGGCCAAGGGAAAAGGGTTGGGTGTGAATCGGGACCGGCTGTAACAGTTGATACAGTCTATGGACTGCTGGTACTTACTGCCTGTTTGCACCAAGAACAGCTGATTGCAACAATCTCTTTACTATGGAATGAGAACTTCTGTTGGAAACCCTGTAGAGGAATAAGTAACATTTTAAAAATTTGCATTAAGACAGCTCTAAATAGTTTGCAGTACTTCAGTATCCGTAGAGCAGGGGTGTCAAACTCATTCCATGGAGGGCCTAGTGTCTGCAGGTTTTTGGTTTTTCCTTTCAATTAAACCTTAGACAACCAGGTGTGGGGAGTTCCTTACTAATTAGTGACCTTCATTCCTTTAATCAAGTACAAGGGAGGAGCGGAAACCCACAGCCACTCGTTCCTCCGTGGAATGAGTTGGACACCTGTACTGTAGAGTGAGCTCCAAAAGTATTGGGACAGTGACAAATGTTTTGTTGTTTTGGCTCTGTACTCCAGAAATTTGGATTTGAAATGATTATTACGATGAGTACAAACTGTAAGCTTTAATTTCATTCATATCAGGTGAACCATTTAGAAATTACAGCACTTTTTATACATAGTCCCCAAATTTAAAAGGGGACCAAAAGTATTGGAACAAATTCACTTATATGTGTATTAAAGTAGTCAAAAGTTTTGTATTTGGTACCATATTCCTAGCACGCAATGATTACATTAAGCTTGTGACTCTACATGATTACGGATAGTCCTGAATGAATAGTCAATAATGATGAGTGTAAAGTTACAGATGCACAAATATCATACCCTCCCCAAAAAATGCTTGTCTTGGGGGTATGATATTTGTAACTTTCTCACTTATCATTATTCACAAATCATTTAGGACTATCTGTAAGTTTAGAAACATTTTCTATTCTTCTTTACAGTAAAAGTGACCTCAAAATGACACAATATATTATTTACCATTCATTTCTATTGAGAACAAAGAAATCTGAAACACAACCAAAATAAACAGCATCCAACAAGTACACATATAAGTGAATTTGTCCCAAATCTTTTGGTCCACTAAAATGAAGGGGCAATGTACAAAAAGTGCTGTAATTTTGGTTCACCCGATATGGATGAAAATACCCTACAATTAAAGCTGACCTCATAGTATAATTTATGGGCTCCCGAGTGGCGCAGCGGTCTAAGGCATTGCATCTCAGTGCTTGAGGCGTCACTACAGACCCCTTGGTTCGATTCCAGGCTGTATCACAACCGGCCGTGATTGGGAGTCCCATAGGGCGGCGCACAATTGGCCCAGTGTCGTCCGGGTTTGGCCGGTGTAGGCCGTCATTGTAAATAACAATTAGTTCTTAACTGACTTGCCTAGTTAAATAAAGGTAAAATAAAAAAATTAAAATCCAAAGTGCTGGAGTACAGAGACAAAAAATGTGTCACTGTCCCAATACCTTTGGAGCTCACTGTATACAGTGCTTTAAAAAGTATTCACACCCCATGACTTATTCCAAATTTTGTTGTGTTACAGCCTGAATTCAAAATGGATTAATTAGATGTTTTTCCATTGTCAAGTCTTGCCATAGATCTTCAAGCAGATTTAAGTCAAAACTGTAACTAGGCCACTCTGGAACATTCTATGTTGTCTTGGTAAGCAACTCCAGTGTATATTTGGCCTTGTGTTTTAGGTTATAGTCCTGCTAAAAGGTGATTTTTCTCCCAGTGTCTGTGGGAAAGCAGACTGAACCAGGTGTTCCTCTAGGATTTTGCCTGTGCTTCACACTATTCCGTTTCTTTTTATCCTAAAAAACTCCCTAGTCCTTGTCGATGACAAGCATATCCATAACCTGATGCAGCTACCACCATGCTTGAAAATATGAAGAGTGGTACTCAGTGATGTGTTGTGTTGGATTTGCCCCAAACATAACGCTTTGTATTCAGGATATAAAGTTAATTTCTTTGCCACATTTTTTTTGCAGTTTTGGAATATTTTTTATTCTGTACAGGCTTCCTTCTTTTCACCCTGTCATTTAGATTAGTATTGTGGAGTAACTACACTGTTGTTGATTCATCCTCAGTTTTCTCCTATAACAGCCATTAAACTCTGTAACTGTTTTAAAGTCACCATTAGCCTCATGGTGAAATCCCTGAGTGGTTTCCTTCCTCTCCTGCAACTGAGTTAGGAAGGACGCCTATATCTTTGTAGTGACTGGGTGTATAGAGACACCATCCAAAGTGTAATTAATAACATCACCACGCTCAAAGGGATATTTAATGTCTTCTTTTTTACCCATCTACCAATAGGTGCCCTTCTTTGAGAGGCTTTGGAAAACCTCCCTGGTCTTTCTGGTTGAATCTGTGTTTGAAATTCACTGCTCGACTGAGGGACCTTACAGATAATTGTTGGGTACAGAGATGAGGTAGTCATAAACAAATCATGTTAAACACTATTATTGCACACAGAGAGAGCCCATGCAACTTATTATGTGACTTGTAAAGCACATTTTTATTCCTGAACTTATTTAGGCTTGCCATAACAAAGGGGATGAATACTTATTGACTCAAGACATTTCAGCTTTTCATTTTTAATGAATGTGTAAAAACAAATTATGGGGTATTGTGTGTAGGCCAGTGACACAACATCTCATTTTAATCAATTTTAAATTCAGACTGTAACACAACAATGTCGGAAAAGTAAAGGGGTGTGCATACTTTCTGAAGGCACTGTATGTGAATCTATGGTTGGTGAATGGTTCTCACTGACCTTCCCACACTGTCGACACTTCCCAGTCTGTCGCCTCCTGTGGACCCAATGGTGACGGACAACGTTGGGCTGGAATTTAGGAAACATTGTTGAGTCAACGTCACATTACAAATCATAATGTACAATACAGAAGACTTCTGTGTCACCCAAAGCTGCTTTGAAATTATTGAGACTGAAATTGACTAAAGTAGACTGAATCAGTTAGAATGAGTGAGACAGAAATACAGTCAACGAACAAATAACTTGGAGAGAAACAAAGATAACGTGGTGCCGGTACCAGAAAGATACTGACCTCTCGAATGTTTCGAGATCCGGGTTCCCTAAACGATGGCTTACATCTAAAATTTATCTGTGGAGAGAAAATACAATAACATTGGTCAAAAACATAAATATTCCTGGTTATGTTGTATAAGTATAATCTAATAATTGATCAAGTTTATAGTCACTTACCTTTTCTAGCTGCTCGATACACATGGTGTGGACTGCTATTTTGCAGCCAGCACATTTTTTCCTCGCCACTGACTTTTGCTGTGGTAGAATCACAGAGAGAATATTTATATTTATTTGGAAAATACTAATAATAAACCAGATGGTCATCTTCCATGAAGAAAATTGTGTGACTTGCTTCAGCTCTTTAAAAGTATGTTTGTGGAAGTGGGTATGATAGCCTGAACATGTGAAAGTTGATTTGGTGTCTCTAGCTTGAACGGTTCAAGAGTTACTGTTGGTGGGTTATTATACACTAATTTATGCAAATTTCTATAGTTATAGTTGATACAAGTTTTTAAGAATTTGAAGTTAGGATAGCCTGAACATGTGAAAGTTGGTTTGGTGTATCTAGCTTAAAAGGTTCAAGCTTTACTGTTGGTGAGTTATTTTATGCAATTCTATGCCTATTTATATAGTTATAGTTTATCAACATTTTAAAGAATTTGATGTTAGGATAGCCTGAATGTTTTAAAGTTGGTCTTGTATAATGAACAAAAATATAAACGCAACATGCAACAATTTCAAAGATTTTACTGAGTTACAATTCATATAAGGAAATCCGTCAATTGAAATAAATAAATTAGGCCCTAATCTATGGATTTCACATGACTGGGCAGAGGTGTAGCCATGGGTGGCCCTGGGAGGGCATAGTCCTACCCACTGGGGAGCCAGGCCCAGCCAATTAGAATGTGTTTTTCCCCACAAAATGGCTTTACTACAGACATAAATACAGGTGAAGAAGCCAGATGTGGAGGTCCTGGGCTGGCATGGGTTCACGTGGTCTGCGATTGTGAGGCCGGTTGGGCGTACTGCCAAATTCTCTAAAACAACGTTACATTCTCTGGGAACAGCTCTGGTGGACATTCCTGCAGTCAGCATGCCAATTGCACGCTCCCTCAAAACTTGTGGCATTGTGTTGTGTGACAAAACTGAACATTTTAGAGTGTCCTTTTATTGTCCCCAGCACAAGGTGCACCGGTGTAATGATCATGCTGTTTAATCACCTTCTTGATATGCCACACCTGTCAGGTGGATGGATTATCTTGGCAAAGGAGAAATTTAACAGGGATGTAAACAAATTTGTGCACAAAATTTGAGAGAAATAAGCTTTTTGTGCTTATGGAACATTTCTGGGATCTTTTATGTCAGCTCATGAAACATGGGACCAACACTTTACATGTTGTTTTTATATTTCTGTTCAGTGTAGCTTAATTGGACAAGGAGCAGGACCATTTGGAATAGCTACCTCTGTATTGCTATGGTTCTCATTCAAACCCATTTTAATTTATGCACATATTTTATGGTTATAGTTCAAAAAGTATATATAATATCACAAATCTTTTACCATTCTAGTCTATGGCCCATTTCTGCCATTGAAATGCATTGGTATCCATAGCAATGGCTCCGTTTGGGCTGCTCAATAACGAGACATGAGGGCTGTTAGCTGACGTTGGCTAGCTATTGTCGCTTTAAACTCTAACAAACAGCTGTAACTTTTGATTGGTAGAAGATAATTCTGTTGTGATTTCAGATTTGAATAACAGAGAAGTAGACCAAGATGTCATACCCTCAAACTTTTTGTCTAACTTGTCGGGAAAGTAGTAAAAATATCAGTTGTTTATAAAAAAAAATCGAAAATGTTGACGCGGTTGCTAAAACAGCTGTTAGACTGGTAGAAAATATTATTTACCTGATTTAAGATTTGAATAGCAGAGAAGTAGAGGAAGATTCATATTCTCTAACCTTTTGTCTAACTTGTTGGGAAAGTGGTCAAAGGAGCTGATTTGTGTCAAAAGTTGCATTCACAGTGAATGGAATGTTGAAGTCGTGATGTCAATGGAAGCTTTAGAATGTTGAAGAAATCCCATGAAAGTGGATGAAGTTTAATAAAAGTTTAAAAACTATAAATATAATCAAATAGTTGTATACAATCACACTATTCAAGACCAGTCTGCACGTTTTACATTTTGAATGGTGTTTCTAGCTTAAACGGTGTACGAGGAGTAGCGTTATAAAAAATAATAACTATAAGTCAGAAATAAGTGGTACAATATTTAAAGTGTGGCTGCTTTGCACGCCACATTAACACAGTGAGGGAAAAAAGTATTTGATCCCCTGCTGATTTTGTACATTTGCCCACTGACAAAGAAATGATCAGTCTACAATTTTAATGGTAGGTTTATTTGAACAGTAAGAGACAGAATAACAACAAAAAAATCCAGAAAAACGCATGTCAAAAATGTTATAAATTGATTTGCATTTTAATGAAGGAAATAAGTATTTGACCCCCTCTCAATCAGAAAGATTTCTGGCTCCCAGGTGTCTTTCATACACGTAACGAGCTGAGATTAGGAGCACACTCTTAAAGGGAGTGCTCCTAATCTCAGTTTGTTACCTGTATAAAAGACACCTGTCCACAGAAGCAATCAATCAATCAGATTCCAAACTCTCCACCATGGACAAGACCAAAGAGCTCTCCAAGGATGTCAGGGACAAGATTGTAGACCTACACAAGGCTGGAATGGGCTACAAGACCATCGCCAAGCAGCTTGGTGAGAAGGTGACAACAGTTGGTGCGATTATTCGCAAATGGAAGAAACACAAAAGAACTGTCAATCTCCCTCGGCCTGGGGCTCCATGCAAGATCTCACCTCGTGGAGTTGCAATGATCATGAGAACGGTGAGGAATCAGCCCAGAACTACATGGGAGGATCTTGTCAATGATCTCAAGGCAGCTGGGACCATAGTCACCAAGAAAACAATTGGTAACACACTACGCCGTGAAGGACTGAAATCCTGCAGCGCCCGCAAGGTCCCCCTGCTCAAGAAAGCACATATACAGGCCCGTCTGAAGTTTGCCAATGAACATCTGAATGATTCAGAGGAGAACTGGGTGAAAGTGTTGTGGTCAGATGAGACCAAAATCGAGCTCTTTGGCATCAACTCAACTCGCCGTGTTTGGAGGAGGAGGAATGCTGCCTATGACCCCAAGAACACCATCCCCACCGTCAAACATGGAGGTGGAAACATTATGCTTTGGGGGTGTTTTTCTGCTAAGGGGACAGGACAACTTCACCGCATCAAAGGGACGATGGACGGGGCCATGTACCGTCAAATCTTGGGTGAGAACCTCCTTCCCTCAGCCAGGGCATTGAAAATGGGTCGTGGATGGGTATTCCAGCATGACAATAACCCAAAACACACAGCCAAGGCAACAAAGGAGTGGCTCAAGAAGAAGCACATTAAGGTCCTGGAGTGGCCTAGCCAGTCTCCAGACCTTAATCCCATAGAAAATCTGTGGAGGAAGATGAAGGTTCGAGTTGCCAAACGTCAGCCTCGAAACCTTAATGACTTGGAGAAGATCTGCAAAGTGGGACAAAATCCCTCCTGAGATGTATGCAAACCTGGTGGCCAACTAAAATAAACGTCTGACCTCTGTGATTGCCAACAAGGGTTTTGCCACCAAGTACTAAGTCATGTTTTGCAGAGGGGTCAAATACTTATTTCCCTCATTAAAATGCAAATCAATTTATAACATTTTTGACATGCGTTTTTCTGGATTTCTTTGTTGTTATTCTGTCTCTCACTGTTCAAATAAACCTACCATTAAAATTATAGACTGATCATGTCTTTGTCAGTGGGCAAACGTACAAAATCAGCAGGGGATCAAATACTTGTTTCCCTCACTGTAAATCATTAGAAAACATATTCTATTGAAAATGTACCCAAAAGAATGCTGCAATAATGTACTACTGTAACAGTCTCAATAATCTAAAATATACTTTTATAAATTATATCATGCAGATGAGTATTTCTGTGAATAACAGAGGGTGCTCAAACACAGCATTCTATCCTAGTACAGTACAATTGTAGTGAAGGCTCACCATTGTCTTTGTGATGCAGTACTGCTCTCCAACGTAACAGACGTCTCCTGAGACACTGGTCTCAAACCAGATATGGTCCCCAAACTGGGCATTATCCTGGGAGGACAGAGAAGATAATATGGAAGTAATTTATCCACATTATAAAGGTTGGACAAATGTCACCAGTTTTCAGTTTTTATCTCAGATGAAAATGCTACTGTATGTTTGGTTGGGCAGCGACACCCATTTCACCTCTTTTGTCTCCCCATTTCACCTCTTTTTGTCTCATTTCACCTATTTTTGTCTCCCCATTTGTCTAAAACCTGTGTGAACACACACAACTAAGCAAATCTTCACCATAGCATTTCTGTAACAAGAAAAGGCCCACATGTGCTATTTCTGGAATCTCTGCTGTAGCGGCCTTGAATGGGACCTTTCTAAACCGTTATACACCGGAGGCTATACTCACACTCCAGTCGACAGTGTTGCAGTTCTCTCGAAGTGGGTCAGTCTTGCCTGGGGCACTGGGCTGGGCTGCCAAGTGCTGGAGGCCTGACTTAGCGATAGCTTTCCTGAAACAATTAAACAAAACGAGAAATAATCAAGCCTTTTAAAAGGATCTGCAGTACAGTACAATACAACACCCAAGGCTGTGATGTCAAACCTATTTTTTTGTTTAAACTGCAGGCAGCAGAGAAATGTATTTAATTTGCTTGAAGTTTTACTATTTACTATTACTATTTCACCATACTGTACATTCAATTGACCTTTCAGAAATCCAATCGAACATTGATCAACATCAAGACCATATACATTTCATCAAACCACTGAAACACATTTATAGGCATGATTCTGTGACCCCACCTATGTGTGTGTGTATTTGTGTGTGTGTGTGTCTGTGTGTGCCCCTGTGTGCGTGTCTGTGTTTTCACACTGGATCTACCTCCTCAGCTATCATACGAACATGTTTGACCAACACTACTGATAGTCAGTCCATTTGTCACTATCGAGACCTATGTCTCAGGCCCTCCCGCCTTTAAGACTGGTAGAGAGCCTAGCAATGCTAACTAGGAGATCAATACTGTAGCAGTGTGTTACTCAGCTCCAACCAGCTAGCGCTACTTTGTTAGCAGTGTCGCTATTGAGTTAGCTCTATGGAGGTTGTCATTATGGGCTGAGGAATGAGAATGACATGACAGCTCATATGAGGAGTACATCTGATTTGGGGCAGGTTCATTATAGCATAAGAACTAGGGAATATTTGTTAGCATTTAAACAAAAGAGGTGGGTTTTGGGGTCTTTTGGATAGGCCTAACCTATGTCACAAATGTTTGCCTTAGAAAATATCACCACAGGAGTTATGAGCATTGTCACTCACTCACAACGATCAACACACGTTTCTCAACAACCGATCACAAAAAAACACAACGTTCCTCCTCAAATTAAAAGGATAGTGAGATAGTACTAGTCACTCACAAAACAACACAAAGCAGCTTGCTACCACAGATTCACTCAGGTGTTACGGTGGAAGAACATTAACAAAGACGGGACCCTGTCTGATGGAGGTAATTAACTACATACAGAAGGAACCCACTCCATGTCTCCAGCCGGGGGTCGTAGTAGGCCCCCAGGGAAGGGCTGAGTGAACTTGCTGAGTGGCTCCTGCAAAAGGCGGGGTGGCTGAGGTAGACGGTTGAGCTCCGGCGGTTGGGCAGTGGAAGCCCCCTCCCTGGCCAGGGGCTGCCTGCTTTGGAGATGGTAGAGATTCGCCGCTGCCTTATCTGTCTGGAGCGCCCGCAGTAGCGGCCGTATGGCGTGGCCTCACCCGGTGAGAGGCGTGACGAGTTTCTCCGCAGGCAGCGGGGGGCGCGTATGAGGGGCCGAGATGAGGAGACTCTCTCGGCCACCACTCCCAGCGGCGAGGGGTAATGTTGGGTAAGCCACCAGGAAGTGTCCTCTATTTCCCTGTCGGAAACGTCCACCTCTTCCACTACTTCGGCTGGGTGCTGGAGCTCCTCATCGGGGTCGAAGGGCTGGCTGTCCTCGGAAAGACTGTGGTGGTCGTCGTTGCTGTCGCCGTCCGAGTGTAGGGTGCTGGAGCGGGACAGGGCCCTGCTGCCACCTCCACTGCTTCTCATCTCCACCTGCTGCTCCCCAGCTGTCAGGCACAGATTCCCCAGGCTCCCCTCTCCCCCGCCCTCCTCCTCCTCAGTCATCTGGATGAGGCTGGCCAGCAGCATGGAGGGCCCCAGCAGGTGGGTGTCGATGGTGCGCAGCTTGCGGTGCTTCACGGCGAAGCGCGGGTTCATGCTGACCGTGGTGGTGCTGGAGCGTCTCCGGACATGGCTGCCAGAGGATGATTTGGCGTTGGATGATTTGGCGTAGCCGGCCACCTTGGCTAGCCGGCCGCTCCCCGCACAGTGACCCCCCGCCAGCGGGAGCGGGAGCCCTTGTAGCTGCACGCTGGAGCGGCGCCGTTGGGCCAGAGCGGCCGAGGGGAGGCCCACGCTAGAGCGCCGGCGAGCCTTACTGGTCGGCAGGGCAACACTGGGGCGGCGGTTACTGCAGCAATAGTCCAGCTCCACCTCTTCCTCGTCCCGCGAGCCCGTCTCCTTCCTCTTAAAGTGGCGGCGGAAAAAGGTATCCATGGTAGCCTGAGGGAGGGACTGCCCTTTTCAAAATACTCCTTTGTGGCTGTTGGCGCAGAAATGAGTCCATGAGCTTGCGTTACAGAATTAGACACCACTACCTACTGCCATCTTAAGAAAGCAATACTGTGCAAGGGTATATAATACCAGTGAGAAAAAAGCCATAAACAGGGCATAGTTATATGAACTGGAGGAAGTTAAGTCATACTTCCCTGTTTCTGAAATAGATAATAGATATATGAAGACCTTTCAGTGTCCATTAATCAGTAATACAATATTCTTTGTTACGGGTTGGGATTATAAATAATGGTAGAAAGAAATCCATATGGACTGAACCGGATATATCTAGGGCTAACCTGGTTCCTTCCATGTGATTTCAATCACTTTCTGACTGCACCCCTTTTGATTTGAATGAAACTTTTCATACATGTTTGCCCATGGTGGAAGTGGTCACAAGGTGACTTTTTGGAATGATAAAACATTCAAGAGATAGAGGTGCTTAAAGATGACAGAATTGCGCTGAGATCTTTCACTTAAAATGTATGCCAAACAAAAACCATTGATTTAAAAGATTAACAAACCATACAACTGTACAAGGACTACTTTTAGTAGTTTGGTACCAGAATTTATGTGACCATGTTTTCCAAAAACATTAATATCTGCTCCGAATAAAGATTAAAGACGTCTGCAGACAGAATGGGGTGTCAGCTACAGTAAGTGAAGTGGATTTACACCTGGTAACATAACTGCAGTAACGATTTCATCATGGGTCCCTGATCTGTACTACACATAATTATGGATATGAATGTCATTATTTTCATGGTGATATATCCTAAATAGGTACACAAAGGTAGAAATATGCAACATCCTCCTTTGCATATTTGGGTATTATTCTACACACTGGCTATTATTGTAATGAGCTCCGCCACCAAACAAGACCACATTTGGTTGTTCCGGACTGGACCAAATCTGAACTAAATCATAGACATCTATGTTTCACAAGTTTGAACATCAAAGTACAGCACAGTAGAGATCAGTAGAGTACAGTAAAGTACAGCACTGTAGAGTAGAGTTCAGTACAGTATAGTCAAGTAGAGTATAATTCAGTACAGTAGAATTCAGCACAGTAGAGTATAGTTCAGTACAGTACATTAGTGTACTCAACACATTTTACATTTACATTTGAGTCATTTAACAGACGCTCTTATCCAGAGCGACTTACAGTTAGTGAGTGCATACATTTTTTCATACTGGTCCCCCGTGGGAAACGAACCCACAACCCTGGCGTTGCAAGCACCATGCTCTACAACCTGACCTACACGGGACAGTGTAGCTAGTGTGCTCTACTGTGTACTGTACTGAACACTACTCCACTTTATTCTAGTCTACTTTACAGTATAGGACAGGACCGTACTGTACTGAAATATACTCTACTTTTCTTTACTGTGCTGTACTCTACTGTAATGTATTGTACTGTACTGTGGTGTCCAAACTTGTGAAACATAGATGTCTATGATTGGTTCATCTTTGGTCCGGTCCGGAACGGACCAAATCAAAACCAATCATGGACGTCTATGTTTGGGCCAAACGAAGGCCGGTCCAGAAGTCTGTGGATGTTGAAATCAAGGCTGGTCCAAATTTCAGTTAAGTGAAACTTTGGTGACATTAATTGGAGCGAGAGCGAGAGCGAAAGCGAGAGAGGGGGGTGGTCCACGCTCTTGCTTTCACCACCAGATGACAGGAAGAGAATGAAAAAGGTTATCAGCTGAGCATAACAGTATGCCAGTGGAAGGGAGGACAGTAGCAGATGACCCAACTGTGGTTTGTGACTACTATGATTTCCCATTGTAGCCAATTCAATTGCAGAAATTCTGTTACCGATTTTTCTGAAATTCTGTTACTGATTTGGTAACAGAATTTCGAGTTTTAATCTCTTAATAATTCATAAACAATATTGATATCAGTAAAAACACTATAAACGAATTGATAGGTCTACCTTAACTTGTTACTTCTGTGAACTTTCAGTATCCTCCCTCCTCATGAAGGAGAGAAATTAGAAACTATCTTAAAGATATGTGGGTTTTTGGTAACAGAATTTCAAAGCACAAGGCAATGTTTCTTAAACTTACAGAAAGCAAACAAAATATCCCAAACTAAATGTAAGTGTTGATATTAGTTGGCAGGGGTCTTTACTTCAACATTATTGTGTTTTGATGTATTTCTAATACCTTTTAAGACTTTTTCTGGTAGATGTTTTCGTGACCCAACAACCTTTCCCTCTCCATATTCAGGCCAGTTCCGGCCAAAGACTACCCGCTGCTCGCTTGTTAGCCGTACACTAACATGCTGACTAGACCGGCCACGTTGGGTGCGCGAGTGTTGCAAAATAAATGCACACACGTCATTCAATAATTTCATCCAATCGGGCGTCTGCGTAGCCAGGCGCTAAAATATGAATTTGGTTCTAATTTAGACGCTTTATGCGCTGCAAGTCCCGCCTCTCCCATCTCCTCATTGGTTTTCATGAGCATACTAATGCACGTGGGTGATTCAAAGATGATCGAGGAGAGATTTATCAAAGAAAACTAACTAAAAACTAACTAGGGTTGCCCTTTTATCTGTGGATACAGTAGAGAACACAATACTTTGTATGACTGAAAATGGTTCAAAATTCTACAAAGATCCATAAAAAAAGGACCATATGCATTTCAGGTAAAATAGAAACTTCTTCTCCCCAATTTCGTGAAATCCAATTGGTAGTTACAGTCTTGTCCCATCGCTGCAACTCCCGTACAGACTCGGGAGAGGCAAAGGTCGAGATCCATGCGTCCTCCGAAACACGACCCCGCCAAGCCGCACTGCTTCTTGACACACTGCTCGCTTAACCCGGAAGCCAGCCGCACCAATGTGTCGGAGGAAACACCGTACAACTGGCGACCAAAGTCAGTGTACATGCGCCCGGCCTGCCACAAGGAGTCGCTAGAGCGCGATGGGACAAGGGACATCCCGGCCAGCCAAACCCTCCCCTAACCCGGACGACACTGGGCCAATTGCGCGCCGCCTCATGGGTCTCCCGGTCGCGGCCGGCCGCGACACAGCCTGGGATCGAACCCGGGTCTGTATGACGTCTCTAGTACTGCGATGCAGTGCCTTAGACCGCTGCGCCACTCGGGAGGCCTGGTTTTGGTATTTTAACCTGCGTGTCATGAATGCGTCTGGTGGGGACAGACAAAATCAACATGCGCACGATGGCGCATGAAAATGCAGGTGCGGAGCCGTTTTGGTCAAGGTGTAAGGATCTCGCTAACGATCATCAGCGTGTATCATCACATTGACTTTTGACTGCGCTGACCTTTTCTGACATATTCAAATGCCAGCGACAAGCCATTTAAAATGAAGAGCTCTATAAATGTGGATTTTCATATCGTAGTGCACGCACACACACACACACTGAAATATGGATGTGTGAGGTACGTAGGTAGAAGGTGGGATGTAGGCCTATTGATTTGGTGGTACTTTGCTCAGAGTGTTGAATATGGAGTGAGTTATGTTTGTCTCCTGTGGCTTTCTCTAGATGTATAATGGGAGGCAGGTGGACTGTTAGACGGGCGTGACATAACAGCTTGTTATGTAGTACTATAGTGGATCACTCCAATATGGTATCCTTCCGTGCGGCAGGATACATTCTGAGTAAGAATTTGAGATTAGTCCTGTGTACCGGGTAGTGCTGCGGCTGACCCCCTTAAATAGCTGCTGCCGCACTACTCCCTCCTCTTCCTTTTCTCTGCTCATTCCAGAGAGGATTCGCTTGGTAAGAGCTCTATTTTAGAGTGTATAAGCGCAGAAGTATACCCGCAGCTATTCAATAGCTTGGCGCAGCTAGCTAGCCTCTCCATCAGTGTGCTCTGCTGTCCTCCCACTCGGTTTGGCTTGTGCCTTCCCGTTTGGGTTTCGTCCTTATTTTTATTACTTGTGACAGTGTACCAACCTGGGTGACCCTCGGTTTGGTCCACCAGTATTGCGGTGCTGAGGGTTTGTCTTAGTTGTCTGTGTGACTTGTCTGTCCACCGGAACCCTCCCGGTTTTAGCCTTCGGGTTCGGGGACTGCGCCTATCCCGCAAGATCGGGAGACTGGGTATGTTTCGCTCCAACGGGCTTGCAGATCTCCCCTGAGAGTGAACTAGGTGTCGCAAGGCGCACCGCGTTTCATCTCTCACAGGACGCAGCCATCTTGCCTAGACTCTTGTGTGTTCCACGGTGAACGAGCTATGCAAAGTAGCTAGCTTAACGAGAAGTGACCTTCAATCTTTACTATTATACAGTATTGCGCAGTGTTTACTATAAACATAGTATATTACACTGTTGGCTTAATTATTTCCACAAGGAAAAGGTACAGCCATTCACGTCTCCTCTCCTTTAGATAGGGTATGAGACTAAGGCTGATACTGTAGGTCCCATTCTATACTATCATACAGTATTGTGTATACTATAGACACAGTAGTATTACACTGTTGGCTTAATTTACAACTATTGGGCTGAGTTTATGTTGGCCCAACCATAGTGAGATTACACTGGTGTTTTTTTTTTTCACACAGTTGCTGGGTTGCGATAGTTTTTGTTACACTATTTTACAGTACAGAGAGTAACTATCATCGTTTCCTATGGAAACTCACATCTCAGCTTTATTGTACTGAGGGTTTCAGTGCATAGCTGTGTTTACTATAGTTCTGATCCACTACTTTACAGTACAGACAGTAACTATCCCTTAATTGAAAACTGACAGCTCTATTACACCACTGTTTTTTTCACACAGTATGTAGCTGGATTTACTATAGTTTTTCTGTTGCACTACATACAGTAGGCTACATACAGTAACTATGCTAGTTTCCAGTCACTTTTCATCTATTACACTGCGGTCTTGCACAGTGTGTAGCTGGAGTTACTAGTTTTCCTTTTGTACTTACAGTTAAGACAGTAACTATCCTAGTTTCCCCTGGAAA